CCATTGCGTATCCCAACTACCAACTTTATTACCACAATAATATTCACCTCTAAATATCACTTAATAATCACTAATGTTAATTATTTAATAATATTCATTTACCTTCTAAAACCATCATTCAACTCAATCCATCTCCCTACTTTAATATTACCTCCATTTTCATCATAATTTCCACTACCACTAATTATGTGTATAAGATATTAAATATTATAAAATTTACATTTTGATAATATTTTTATCCCAAAACTAATAAGTATCCCACAAACCAACTTTTTCTTAATTTTTATAGTTGCCAATAAGAATTATTAAACTTCTTCTAAATAAATAGTATTCTAAATTAAGATTTACCTCCAAGATCCTTCTCTCATTTCAATCCATTTTCCTACCTTTGTACCTCTTTCTTGATCATCAAATAATCCAGTTCCACTATAATTATAGCCTTAACTATTAATATTTTACATTAAAAAAGTCTATTATTCTCCAACATTATTATTATAATAGATATTCCACAAACCTACTTTAATACCATTTTTATATTCACCTCTAAGAGTGATATAACTTTGCCTATTTTATAATAAATTAATCATATACTCCCAAAAGTTATCATTTATATCAATCCATTTTCCAATTTTTTAACCTGATTCATTATAAAATCCACCCCCACTATAAAATATGTTAAAAATAACTCTTACATTTAATGATTATTATATATATATTTCCATTATCCTATTCTGTAACCATTTTAGTATTCTCCAATTTCATAGACTTAAGCTTTACTAAATTTTAAATTAAAACACACCTCCAATAATTCTTTATTAATTCTTTCCATAATCCTACCTTTTATCCATTATCTTTTTCCGAGTACCATCCACCAACATTTTCCAAAATTTCTCCCTTCCAAGTAATAGTCCACTTTCCAACTTTCTTTGAATTCTCTCCATATTCTCCTTACCAATTAAGATATTTAATCTACTCTAATTTAGTTAATATTTCTGGTTTTTTTGAAGTGTCTTTAATATAATCTCTTTAATTAAGTTGAATAAAACTTACATTCTAAGAATTGATCCTTCAATATTTGTATATTTGATTTCTTAATTAGAAGTTATATTAATATAGAATTAAGTTTTTAAAAAACGAGAATTATAACAATCCCAAACATAATCTTCATAAATTGAATTTCCCTCCTCAATTTTTTATCCTTCTTTTAATCTACAAATATAAATAAGAATTTATTTACATTTATTCTTTATTTTTTTGCTTTTCTTAGGAATATGAATTTGTTTGCCTATTACCCATTATTATTATTTAAAATTATTACTTTTGGAATCAAACAGAATTCAAAAAATTAAATTTCTTTTGGTAAAATATATTTTATATTCTTTA